ATAATCACTCAATATATGTGTTGGGTAAGTGAATGCATGAATTCTACAACTATTCAAACTTCAGCTATCTGGATTAATTGACACTTCTGTGATTTATATAGATTTATGCACAATCACACACAGGTACAAATATTTTCAAAGAGCCATACCTCCCAGAGTAGCAGATAGCAAGAAATGTGTCCCATATTTCTTGATAAGGTTTTCTGTGATTTGCTGAAGGGTGGGTCGACGTCCCAAAAGTCTTATGTTGCGGAAGAATTCAGGGGCAAGAGGCAGAGGGGAGCCAAGGAAATTTCTTCTCTCAACTGCAAGGTTATTTACTTTCCAGCGGCCAAACTCCCTGAAAAGCAAATTTATTTTTATTCATAAATGCATAATCTATCTGAATGCTTTCATTTGAAAAGTTCACTTGGTAGTTTAGCTGGGGTCACTATATTACAATGCCTCCTGCTTGTAATAATATGTCATGTGCTATGAGTAGGAGAAGCAATATTTATAATTTATGTAACTGGAGTCAATACTCTAAAACCAAGTCATGTAGGGAAAAAATTAGCCACTTAAAGTAAACAGCTTCCACTGATTTTTCTTTCCCAAGGAAAGATGTATTCATAAAAAAGGATTTCATTATACACAGAATATGAATGTAGAGTTACTAAAGAAAAACTAGGGTAATATTTTATCATTTTGTAAGGAAAATTGAAAAAAGAGAATGGATTTATTTTCATCACTCTGATGATTTCTCTCTATTCACTTTGTGTTGGGAACTTACAATACCTCAGGGATATTATGGAGCTGCAGAAGAAATTTAAAAACATGATCAAAGAAAAACTGTTTTTGGTTTTTTTTTCTTTACAATAATCATTGTTTACAACATATTTTGAAACCCATATTCTACTTGATTAGCAATTTCTCAATATGCAAAATGACTATAGATGGATTTGGCCAAATTAGAAAAATGACTGATATGGGAATAAATGATTTGTATATTTTTCAAGAAAAGGATTTATACATTTCCATTGAGTTAAAATCAAGCTAATAATACTTTAGAAATCTTGTGAACTGGATCTCCTGATATCAACTATTCAGATTTTTTTTTTGTTTGAAGAGTTGTCTAATAAAAAATCTCAAATATCTCCCACAAAGAGGACACTTTTACTAAACTTAACATGCCCAGGTATGTTATTAACTTAATTAATATTTATCAAATAAAATGTTGATTAATACTCGGATGCCTGTGCGCCACATTTACTTATATCCGCTCCCTCTCGAAAGGCTTACGACGTGCCAGGCACAGGGCATGACAAGGGATACGTCTGTGAACAAGACCCATACCGTTCATTTCTGAATGGAGTTCACCTTCTAGAGAAAGTTTTAAGAATAAGTAAAACAAATAAAGATTTAAAATTAGATTTAAAAAAGAAAATCAAGATTCTGATAAGTACTGAGAGCTTCTCGGACAGCCTGCCATCAGCGGCGAAAGAACTATGGGCAACGTAGCCCTTCGTTTATGGTGCGTGGCCAGGAAGGGCAAATCTGCAAAGGCAATATTTAGGCAATATGTAAAGAAAAAGAAAAGTTGCTAGGTGGAGAGAAGAAGGGAAAAGATTTACACAGAAAAATGAGGAACAGAGACTGGATTTATTATAACGTTTTCTCAAAAGAGACTAAGAATGTCTTGGTTATCTTTTCAAATCTAGGTTTACATTTTTTGTGTCATTCCTTTCTAAAAGAAATTTACCTGAATCTTATTTGTACTTGAATCATATATCTATTGTATGTAAATAAAAATTCAAATATTAAAAAGGAAACCATTTGAAATAAAGTATTTAAGTTCTAACATTTGATGATATATCTCAGGTTATATAGTAACATAATCCCTCTAAGAAGTTATTTATTAGACCATAATCAAAATAATAGTTGCTCATTAATTATAAAATTTATAGGCTTATCCTCAAACATTTAATTTTTTTTAATCTCTTGAAAAGAGTTTATAATTTTATCACAGGTGGGTAACATATAACTTGACCCTAAAATTGTGGCGTATTTTCTTTCAATGGTTTAAAGTGCTAAATTGGTTAACTCAAATGTATGTATACATAGATTAAGATGCAAGCTAATTGAATTAATTGGACTTTAAAAAACCAAGATGATTGATGGATTTAATGGTGATGTTTTATATCCTGTATAAACCCTTTCCAAAACGCTGAGCATTTCTTAGTACATGACTGAGGGTAAATACATGATAGAAGAGTGTAATTCTAATCTTCCTTATCTTTATTAACAATTAGTAAATATACAAATACAAATCCATGATCTATTCTAACCTGAAGTATTTATGGCTTCATTTCCTTTGTTCCTCTTAAATGTGACAAAGAACAGACATAATACAAATAAGCTAAAACAAATTTATGCCATTTTTTGAAATCAGTTTATAATGCTTTATAGCACTGATTACAGAATAAGCTATTCCAGGAAAATTTATTGTCTATTATTTATTGTCTAATTATTTTGCATGTTGCTAGCAATATAAATGAATATAAGAAGACTTCTGACCTCAAAGGCTCTATGATTATACTGAGATAAACTGTGAATGAATAAATAACAACACAAAGGCTTTAAACTATGTTTCTGTTAAAATAGAAGTATACAGTAGCTTAGCACAACTCCTCTATCCAATTTATCATTGTTCTTTGATATGAATGTTCCTAATCTAACTCACTTGGGTATGTCTTCTCTGAAAAGCCTGAGAGAGTGGACAACCTTTCAGGGAGGTTTCTTCAGCTAGAAGGTACTTTTTAGTCCCTTGTTTTGTTAAAGTCAGTTCAATTTATAGTCTCATTTCACTTTCTAATATTTCAGATGAACAAAACACTTTGCCACCCCCTCTGATCAATTTATTTTCTGTGTCATACAACAACCAAAAGGAAAGAACAAACCCTTTCGGGGCATCACCAAACTAAAACTAATTAACTAACTAAATAAATCCAATACTGTTAACAGCTACAGAAAATTATTTTCTTAATTTTTAAGAGCTTTCTCTGAAATTCTTTTCCTGGATTTTTCCCCATATTTTTGTATAAACAATAAAGCAAAATATTACACTTTCTATTGTGTATATCCAACAAGTTTAGTTTGTGTAGAAAACACAAATGTTGAGTCAAAACTTAAGAGGCCTCTCATTTCCTCTCAACCACACTTGGTTTGCATCGTTAATGATACAGGAACAGTTATAATCTCTATAAATACTTTGTTGAAAACCCAGATAAAACATACTGAAATAATCCTAATAAATGGTAATAAGAGCACTTTAAACAAAGGAAATCATCTTTGGAGAACCACAGCGTGAATGGTAGAGATTAGCTATGAACGCAGAGGGGAAAAAGTGGCGGATTAGCGGCGCCCTCCCGGCTCTCCGCTCCCGGAGGGGGAGGCGAAGAAGGCGGACAGCTGCGCGCGAGCGGGTCGCTCTCCCGCGGGGGCAGCATCGTGAATCTGCAGAGAAGCAGCGCGGAAAAGCAGTGCTGGGGAAAAAAGGCGAATGGGAGAATAGTCCACTAAGTTCAGAGAGCGTGAGATACACAACAGGGAATGGAGCGTGGGCCGGCCGGGGCAGTGCAGTCTGACCCGCAGGAGGAGACACTTCCTCCACCGGCCTCCACGCCCCCGCAGGCAGGGAAGCGCCTGGAGCCGGCGCAAAGTTGAGGGCAGGCCGCTGGGCAGTGCAGAGAAGCGACAACGGCGGGAAACCGTCTGAACTCTCCAGTGCGCTGTGCTGAGTCCGCACTGGGCAGGGCAGGGGCTGGTCCGAGCGGACACTTCCCGGATCCGCGGGAGGGAGTTTGGAGACGGGAACCGCGCCTCTGGCAGCTGCCAGGGCCAGACCAAAGGGGCGAGTGCTGAGGAAGAGGCCTGCCCTGGAAACCGCCCAAGACCCGGCGGCGCAGGGCGGGGTAGAGATGCAAGACTCCCTCCTGGACGGGTGGGAGTCAGTGCCCCAGGGAAGCAGTGGGGACGGCTGGTGGCTCTTGCAGACAGCCTGCCAGGCCCAGCACCCGCTGCCCCCCAGGCAGCCCCCTCCAGGGCTGGCTCTCCGTGGGTGGGCAGCCACCATTTGGGGGTCCATAGCCTAAAATCGCTGGGGCGCGTTGTTGAACTGGGCACCAACCCCTCTGCAGCCCAGCAGGGCAAGCCCAGGCAATGGACTCAGGTGGCACCACTGCCCCCACCCAGCAGAGCAGGCCCCACCCTCGGAGGCGGAGGGTAACAAGAGAAGCCCCTTTGTGAACATTCCGCCCCCAGCCTTGCCTTTTCACTTCTGGCAGGTCAAACCCTGCCCTTGTAGGGGCGGAGTAATGAGAGAAGCTGCTTTCCCAGCCGAGTCACCCGGCAGCCTCGGAGGAGCTTGTCACCCCACCCACCGGCTGCTTCTACGTCACACTGACCAAACTCTGTCCTTGGAGGGGCAGAGTAAGGAAAAAAGCCACTTTCCAGACTGCGGCATGCGGCGGCCTCTGGCAGCCCCACTTCCTGAGTTCTGTGGCTTGACTGGTTTGACTTCCCCTCCTGCAGGGCAGACGCTGCCCTTGGAGGAGGAGAGAAATGAGAGAAGACATTTTATGGGCTGGAACATGCTGAGGTCTCAGGCAACACCCGTCCCCCAGCCCAGCAGGGCAGGCTACGCCCTTGGAGGCAGGAAGAAAGGAGAAAAGTCGCTTTTTCTGTGTGACTGGCATGAATCTGTGGGACCTTGGAACTAAGCAAAAGAGGACAGACTTTTAATCAGAATAGTGGGTTGTTTTTGATCATCTAATAAGAACATAACACTAGGGCTCCCCTTGGCGCCCAGGCTGCTGCCAGCTTTGGGGCTTGTGGTGCGGGAAGGAAAATCTTGGCCAGAGTCCCTAGCAATTGCACCAATTTATGCCCCCACCTGGAGCTGCCTCACAATTGTGTCAAAAGAGCCCTAAATAACATATTATCAGCTCTCCCCTAGCAGCAGATCAAGCAACCACAGAAGTATATGCTCTCAGGCTTGCAGGCACCTGTTGCTCTTCTTACCCCACCTAAAGTGGCAACAGGGCTCAAATATCCCTTGGTAGTGACATGACATTTCCAAAAGATAGGGGCACTGGTATACCCCATTTGGGGGTTTAGAGCCCAAACAAAGGTATTGGAATACCTTGAAAATTGACACCTCCATGCAAACTACAAGCAACAAAAGAGAAGGTAACCACATAGCCCAACACAGTGCCTTCCATCTCAAACTAGTGGAGGACAGCAGAGTCACATACACAAGAGTGACTCACCACTTGGGAGACTAAGCAAAGGGTACAAACTTAC